ACTGACAGTGTATGAAGTTAGTGTTAATGTATCTAAAAAAATGTTTTTCATGTATCTGTGATAAAAACCTTACATTCACAAGGCTGTGTGTGTAAGGGGTTTGTTAAATGTGACCATAATTAACGATGTAAGTAGCAATAGTTATTTTTACAAACAGTTTTAGTTGACAATACAACTAGTTCACATGAATTGTTTGTTTTTTATGTCTCAGTTAACTGCATGAATTGGCACGTACTGTTGTCACTACCACTATACTTAGATGATCACGTCTGACATATTGTGGTAAAGATTATGGATTATTTACATTATATTACGTGGACTTGTTTTCGTTATATCCCTGTTCCCTGTTTCTCTGAAACATATTCCTTTCTCGAAACTGATGGGTTGCTTATTATGAATGACCACGTTCAAAATATGCGTTAGTAGCGATTATTTACAGTATATATCAAAGGAAGAGGTATTTCCTTGAAAGCTGTCTGTCACAGTGCCCAATCCCATGCCGTCCTCGGCTGTGTATGTCGTGGCGGGACTGTTAAGAGCTCTCGTGATTTATAACCCGCCACAACGCATAGCGTCTCAACCCTAGTGGAGTAACGTAAGAAGCGGAGGTTGGTGGGCCGGAAATGGTTTATGTCATTTTAATGCAAATAACGGTCAAGGAGGATCTCGACAAAACATCAACCACTGCTACACGAAACACCCTTTAGTAAAGTGTTATAGTGCTGGGAACCGTAATACTAAGAGTGTTTCCAATGTTGTGTCACAATAGTAAATGTTAGCACCTCGCCAGTTTCGATATTGTTGATTTTAGAGTGATAATAAGTGCTTGAAAAGATGTGCTTCACTAATTTCTGGTGCAAAGAACATTTGTTAGGAATGTTTGATATTTTCCTGTAGAGTTCATTAAATAAATCATACAATAACATTTTTGTTTTTCTTTTCAGTTGAAGAAACCGATTACGGGAGAAAAGACGAGTCCACGACACTAGTGCCTTCTAATGTTATGGAAGCTGTTACAAATCAACAGACGAACGAAGAAACAGGTATCCAAAGCTATTCAGATCTGGACGTCGGTTCTACTCCATACGCCGAATCTGTTGCCGTGGAAACCAGGGATGAAGAAACGTCAAGAGCCTCAGTAAAAGGAACTTCTACGTTTAGGATATGTAAACTTCAGGAAAAAGAATCTTGTGACAATACAACTGAAGAACTGAACTCTTTATGTGAGCTTATGGCTGAGGATAGTCCATTGGACTTTAGCTTGAGAAAAGAAGCTCATCCAGAAACATCAATAAATAATCGATTTTCGAGATCTATTGAAAATGGGCACAATACAGAGGCTCAAGATATGCCATTAGATTTATCTGTCTCTCGGAGAAAAGTTATAAGTACTAACTGTCCCATTCGCACTAAGGTGAGATGTACTGAAATAAACTCTACCAAACCGCATAACATCCGGTCTGATTCTTCAGCAGAAGTCATTGTCCAGGATGAAAGTTTTCATTTTAACGCCTTTGAATGGAATGGTAAGCTGAGTCCTAGCAAGCTTGCTAATGTCTCTAACTTACCACTTAAATCAGTTTCTAAGCCTGCTCTATCATCCCCATGTTCCAGTATGCACTATCCAGGCGCCCAAAGTCAGCCTTTGAGTGCTAGCATCAGGGGTAGCACTGCCCTGGAGGAGCTCAGTTCAGTAAGTCAGGTTTCATCTAAATCTGATGGTTATCGACAAGGGACCCGACAGAATCCTTGGCAAAACCAGTGGATTAGTAAGAGCGGAGAGCAGACTAAAGATGTCTTTACGTGTGTGTGGTGTAAGGAATCCTTTCAGAGTTTATCAGAGATGACAATACATATGAAACACAGTCCTCGGTGTGGCATGGTTGGCATTCAAGACCCCTGCTTATCCCCTACAACATCTGTATCTCCAATCCCCGGATCCAAAAGCTCAACTTCAAGTGGAAGTAGAAACTTCTTGGTTAAAGAATCTATGACACTACCCCGGAAACTTGTTCGAGGACAAGATGTCTGGCTTGGTAAAGGTGCAGAACAAACAAAGGAAATTCTAAAGTGTATGTGGTGTGGACAGTCATTCAAGAGTCTTGCAGACATGACAACTCACATGCGAGTCACTCAGCATTACATAAATATCATCAGTCAAGACCAGCTCATCTCATGGAGGAGTCCGGAAGACAAGATGGCCTCCCAGTCTCATCTAAACGCTGTACTTACTTGTAAAGTGTGTGATCATACTTTTGGAAGCCTTAAAGAGCTGAGTTACCATATGGTGAAAAATTCCCACTATAAAGAACATATACTGCGTTCAATCACTGAAGGAGGAGGACGTCGTCGACAGACCAAGGAAAGAAGAAAGAAATCTCTTCCTGTCCGAAAACTTCTGGAACTTGAACGTATGGAGTTGTACACATCCACTCAAGTAAAAAGTCAAGACAATGAATCATTTTCCAATATAAAACCCGTGCAAGGAAGAGTATCTTGTGAAGAATGTGGGGAAAAAGTAGACGCCAAAGATTTCATATCTCATATCAAAAGCTGTTCCCAAAGCTCCAAAACACAAGATATAGAAATTGCACAGTCCACAGATACAAGTGAGCATGAGAGTTCTGGAGGCTTGCAGAGTGACCAACTATCTGTGTTGGCTCATAGTTCTAGTCCTGACTCAGCTAAAGCTGATATATCACGGATACAAAAGACTGACGACATCAAGAAAGAACTTAAAGACTCACTAAATGAAGAGATCGAAGAAGTAGACGAACGTGGAGGTTCAGCTGGTAGTTCTTCAGTATTAAATGAAATCGAAAAATTAATAGAAAAAAGTTTTGAAGATCAAAGCAAGAAGAACAATGTCAGTTCCATTGGAATATTACAAAGGTTAGGAATTGATGAAGACATTGACCCTCCGTGGCATTCTTTAGGAATCTCTACAGAACCGAATCATTCAAAGTATATTACTGGAGATTTTCGAAGATCTTTGGTCTCCTCAGCAGGAATAGAAAAGGGCCAGAGCACGACGCCTGACCCAATATCAACAGAAGAAGAGACATCCTTAACTGGAGACACTCGACTCGAAGAAACTCACTTATTAGCATTCCGAGAAAGATCACCACCATGTTCAAGAACTTTAGTTTCCAACCAGGAATCCCGTTCATCACCATCTAATAACAAGATGGCGTGCTACCAACTTGAGAATGATGATCTTTGTTCCATAACAAAGTCGATTAGTACCAGTCAAACAGATGCAAATCCAGCAGAATATGATGTGGACTTTCATTCAGGTAGTCCACCAGTATCTGACTGTGCCAGTGATTCTAAAGAACCATTTTCTGAAACTGAAGCCCCCAGCTGTGTAGCTGACGTATGTAGTGCAACAACGTCAGGAGTTTGTAGTGCATCAACATCCAGCGCGTGTAGTATGCCAGTTCCCGTTTCGTCTAAGCCTTCAATTCCCGAACACAAAGATGGTGAGATATTTAATATTGAAAAAATATATCCCACCACAGTAAGAGATGGATACTTATCAAACAAGAAAAACTCACCATTTATCTCATCAGAGTCCCCGCCCTTAGAACTAAACCACAAAAAACAGAAGGGACACGAAGAAATATCAGACCATCCCCTTAAAGAACTGCAGAAACTTTTAGACAAAACTAATGTTACAGTTACCAAACCTAACCACCAGGTGTCACAAGGTTCGATCCTGGAGTTTTCTTGGGCATGTAATGAAGCAGCAGCTTCAGACTCGCTAATGAAGTGTGCCTTCTGCGACACTCATTTTATATCTAAGGGTGCTTACAGGCACCATCTAAGTAAAGTCCACTTTGTTAAAGATGGGAATGATTCATCTTGGAGCTTAAAGGATCTCCCTGACCCTACGACGCTCGTAAAGGAGTCTATACCGCCTAAGGAGGAAAATCCTCACTATAAGTTTCTAAAGTATACGGAATTAGCAAAACAGTTATCAAGCAAGTACGTGTAAAACTATTGGTGTTGAAATTGATAGTTCCAAAAGACTGAAAATGTTAGGGATGTATACACAGTGCGAGAACTTTTGTTCTGAAGATTTAAGAAATGCTCTTGGTATTACTGTCTTGATTTAAATATGCTAAAGCTAAATAAGAACATATTGTGTCTGTGATCAGACTTATTGTGAACAATAAAAAAAAAACATTTTAAAATTGTTAAGTATGTAATTTTCAAGGAATATCCAGGTTTAAACCCCTAATAATTATGATATGGTCAGTCCAATATATAATTCTAATCCGAAACATTGTTTTCTGTACAAACAAAGCAACATTTTTTTAAGTTACTTGACAAGTATGTAAAATGTGAAAAGATGATCAGGGTTCGAATCAACTTGCCGATAAGAACAAGGAATTGTATCATTAGTGTTTAGTGTCGGAAATATCTCGAATATTTCCAAATTTTCAACTAATAAATTGAGTCGTTTTAAGCTTTCAGAAGTTTATTTGAGTTGTAATCATTTTTTATTTTGATATTTTTTTAAAAATGGCGATCTTTTATAACGTTGTCAAATTGGCAAATATCTGTTCGAAATTAGCTCCAAATATCTGTTCGAAATTAGCTCCAAACATCTGTTTGAAATTAGCTCCAAACATCTGTTCGAAATTAGCTCCAAACATCTGTTCGAAATTAGCTCCAAATATCTGTTCGAAATTAGCTCCTAAGTTATGGGTTTGTTTATCAGCCGGTTATTCATCGTCAATAAAGTTTTAGAAATGATTGAAATCCATAAATAATTTTCCCATACGAAATTATCCATATCTTGTTAGTTGGCTAGGTCTTGGTGCTGTTACATAATTATGTTAACATCAGATCTCACTGAAAATAACATGTCTCACTATATGTACGAACCTTTATTTCATGGTCTGATTTAGCGCAAAGCGACACCTTGGGCTATCTCTACTCTGTCCACCAGGGGGAATTGAAACCAGGATTTTACCGGAACATTTATGTTATGTACTACAGAAAACACGAGATTAGTGGCGGGTAAATTTGTAACAAGTGAAAATATTTTGGTCGGGTATCGAAACCCGGTTTCTAGCGTTGTAAGTCCACAGACATGCCGCCGTGCCACTGGGGGCAACAAAATATGAATTTACTGTTTTATATTACTAGGAATTATTAAACTTGTGTGTACCTTTTTACTGGTCCAAATATCACTGTTTGTTTTGAGCTAATAGACATTAGAATAACAAATTGGAGAAAAAAACGCGAAATTTCAAAATAATAAAAAAAATATGGAACAAATTCAAAAAATTGTAGAATTTATATACAAATTTTGTAATTTTGAACAAATCCGATAGATTTCACAATCCATAATAATGGAATTTTGGTGATCTTTCACAGTGAGCATAAGCTTGTTTTGTTTGTTTGTTAAACCGTGTAGAGTAAACGTGAAACGATATCAAGGTTAGTGTAGTTTTTACTGCTCTCTATTCTTAACGTTTTATTTTCGGCTTTCAATAAGATGCAGAACTAAAATGTGTTTTTTGTTTTTCATAGCTTAGCTTTGTGTTAGTGTTTTGAGGTATTTATACATAATTAACTATTCTAACCATTTTGTAGGAATAAACACAACTTTAAAAAAAGCTTATACAAAAGGATAGAGGATTTTGTGCACGTGAAGAACCATATCAACTTGTGGGTATTTATATATATATTGGTTTATATATAAATTTCATTACTTTGATGAGTGTGCAATGAAAATGATAAAAGATTGTTGTATATAACACAGAATGTTATGTGGATGTTTGTAAACACTTGTACTTAATCTTTTTCTTCAACTTTAGCTAAGAATTCTTATTTGCCAAGAGCTTCCACCTGTTTAATCTCACTGTAAATAGCCATGGTTTCGAGAGTGTGAGCCTTGATACTCTCGTTATTTATTATTCTTACTCACTCACTGGTATTTCTTATGAATTATTAAAGAGAATGTTTTGTCACAAACTGTTGCCTGGTTTCTGTTATTTTTTTGTCACAAACTGTTGTCTGGTCTCTGTTATTTTTAAGTTGCTGTTCACATTACATGCTATTAAAAAGTACAAGGTTAAAATTGACGTTCATTAAAATAAGAATACATTACTTTATACGTGTTTTTGCTGAGATAATTAAATGGTTTAACATGTTAATTAGGCATGGTTTTATTATGAACACCGACCAAGTATCTTCTACAGCCAGATCTTAACTACCGCTTTAGATTCTATAGTTTGTAAACATGACATGAACTGTGAATCACAACTAATAAAAATTGTTTATTGCAGTCGGTAGAAGTCATGATCGTATAACTTACACAAGAATATAATTAATTAATATAACTAACTAGAACGAAGAAAAAAAATAACAACTTTAAATAACTTAGTATCCATCCAGTCTTCAGTCGGGTGTTTTCGTTGTTGATGATATATTAGACCGTAGACCTAATAACACCATAACACGTTTGGGTTAGGCCGAAATTATTTCTCTAAGCAGACCCAATAGGTCAAAAGCAAGTTTACAGACTTACAACGCTAAAATCCGGTGTTCGATTCCACGGCGTTTAGGGAATGCAGATAGTCTGTTGTGGAATTTTACACTAAGAAAATTACAGTAACAGCTAAACAGAAATATAAAATAAATTAGTTACTTTTAAATATTTATTATATAGACAACGATATATTGACAAGTAAATACGTGACATCTACAATAACAACCACACAACATCATCTACAGAACTTGTTATAAGTTTTAATGATATTCTGTGACTGTCATAAATATTAGTTCAGTGTATTTACATATATCTTTTACACTTACGTTAAATTCGTGAAATTAAGCTGTTCAGTAATGTAAATGCTGTATAAAAAAATATTACTTACTAAGATATACAGTGTCAGCAATAGCATGTTCCATAAGATTTGGATGTATCCTGCGACTTCTAGGTTTTAACTAAATCATGACTTTTACGTGCTATACAGAGTTGAGAACGTTAACCCTTGTAATACGAAGATTGTATATCACTACACTTACGAATATCGTCTGCTTCACGGAGGCTAAATGTCACGTGTAACAGACATGACTCTTTCACTTACAGAGATAGAAAACGTCTATGAATAAGTCAATAATACTGAATGATTTATTTTAACTATTTATCTTGCTAATGCGTATATAAAATTCAAGTACATATTAGTAGCCTTGTAGTATTCAACGAACCATCAGGGTTGTAGCGCGTTGATTCAGAGTGTAGGCAAACAAGCCAATCATAACGTAATTTCCAGGTGTTATGGCTCTGCAGACCGGTTGTCAACACGATCATAACATATTGAGTCAAGGCGTTGTGGAAATTCGATCACGCGTTGAATTGAGTCACTGTGGGTTGGAAAAAATGCATTATTTGTCCAATTTCGTGCAAAGTTACTCGAGAGAAACCTATCTATGCTAGCCGTCCCTAATTTTGAAGCGATAGACTAGAGGGAACAAAACCCATCGCCGACTCTTGGGCTATTTTTTACTAAAGAATAGTGGAATTGAACATGGTCAAGTATGTTTGGCGATGGGTTTCGATCCCACCACCCATAATGTACGAGTCAAACTCTCTAACCATTAGTCCAATAATGTATTGATTCAACGCGTAGTTGAACTCCACAACGCGTTGAGATCAATAAGCGATGACCCGTTGTCTACCAATTTACACGGATATAAGAGTGGACATACATTAAAAGCAAAAGCTAAGTTCAATATCAAATAGTTGATCATGATAAATACCTCAGTGCTTTTTATTGTTGTTTTTCAGTCTGGTGGACAGGCAAAAAAAAAAAAAAACTAGCCACGATCTGTTATCAGAACGATTTATTATATCCAGGAAAATGCACGAAACAACAAAAACAAAATGAAATTGATGCTTTAGTGTATTTCAAAATCACAGCCGAAACAAACAAGAATAAACCACAATCTACAATTGGTGCCCACCAGTGTCACAGCGGTATATCTGCGGACGAACGACGCTAGAAACCGGGTTTCGATACCGTGGTGGGCAGAGCACAGACAGCCCATTGTGTAGCTTTGTGTTTAACTACAAAGAACCCTCAACAATTGGCATCTAATTTGTGGAAACTATTCTATTGTTTTTATAATCAGGAAAAGCTATCTACGATGACCACATTTATAACCTGAACTTTACTCACGTGACCTTGTCCTAGCGAATCAAATCTTTACTTGATAAACAAGTAAGTGTAGTTACAACTTGCATATCAATAAATACAAAAACATGTTGTTAGTTTAGAAAAGTTTACCAGAAAAAAGTTTTTCTTTGATGTATTTATGATTGTTTTTACATGAATATATTATTTCATGTGACCTCATTATATCCTCTACCTAGAAATGTTAGCTGTCCTAATTATGATATTATCACATGTAACACTGTTTTCGCCGATATCACCCACTGGAAACTTATAGTTGTCCCTAATTATAATATTATGACGTATGTCCCTTCTTTCCTCGTTATCACCCACTGGAAACTCGTAGTTCCTTCAGATTATGGCATTATCACAAATGCTACTTCTTTCTTCGCTATCATTGACTGGTAAATTTTAATTTATTCTGATTAATAGATTATCATTTGTGGTTAACCTTTCCTCGTTATTATCTTCTGCAAACCTATATTTGGTCCTCATTATGATATTGTATCACGTGGCCCTTATTTCCCCTTTATACCACTACTAGAAACTTGT